GAATGGCCAACTCTCTGTTATTCCTCTGTCAATTTGATACAGTAGGGGCTTCTGCACTTCCCATATCTGTATCCTCTGTCACTTTTATCAGCAGTTAAAACTGTTTAATCCGTTGTTAACATGTCGTAACCTGTTTTTCCGAGCTGCCTTTAAACGCAATACAAGCGCTACGACGCTCGCGCTGGGTTTAGACCTGTGCAGCAGTGAAGGAGACCTGCTGCTGCTGTGCAGAGCTACACAGGTGTGTTAGAATCATGGCAGCAAACCAGCAAAACGCAAAGAACTTGTTTAATCCGTTGTTAACATGTTGTAACCTGTTTTTTCGAGCCGCCTTTAAACGCAACATGAGCGCTACGGCGCTCGCGCTGGGTTTCCACCTGTGAAGGAGACCTGCTGCTGCTGTGCGGAGCTACGTAGGTTTGTGTTAGAATCATGGCAGCAAACCAGCAAAACGCAAAGAACTTTTCACAGTTTTTCCCCCAAACTGCTGAGTAAAGCTGTTGGAAGCAGGTAAAGTTAGCTACAAGATGACTAGCTAATATCAATACAGCACCTTAAGCTTGTTAACAAGTAGCCTGTAGGCTACTGGTGTTGTCTATGTTCAGCTACGATTCATTTATTAAGGATTACATGGATGACAAGTCTGAGGACCAAAGGTTTACACTGATTCGACTGAGGACCAAAATCACAAAATTTTTCCATTTTCAGCTGCCACAGTTTGCTTTCACACTACACTGTGTCAAAAGAACCAAACACTATGAGGAACCTGTTCCCCTCCGATTTACCTGGAATGCCCTGCGCTATAGCCCACTTCCTGCTTTTGGAGCAATCTCTGGTCCCACTGACATTCACATATATGCACCAGAGTTCACTTCAACTGAGCTGAAACCTAGGTTTGTAGGTGGACCAGAGTTTGCTTTGTTGGTCTGCATTAGAGTTTGACTCCACATTCACCTCCCCAAATGAGCTGAACCTTTTAGGCCAACAAACTGGAGTTTGATTAAAGTGGACAAAACAGGCCTGGTGTGAATGTACCCAAAGTGGCTTGATCCGTTTCTTCTTTGGATCACCATGGGCCACATTTCTGTTGCCCTCTTCAGTAGTTCTTCTGCATCACAGCCATCTACCAATGGGCTTTGTCCATTAGCCAAAGGAAAAATATCCAATTTCAGCACCTCTTATAGAGCCACAGTCACCCCTTGTACACAAAATATGTTTCTAGGATCAAAAGACAAGCTACAATGACAATATTTGCTGCTTTTTATTTAGTTGAATGAAGGAATTTGATTGAACAACATTTTGCTTGAGTTCACAATTGCTGGAAATAGGCAACTCCCCAACAACCGTGCAAGGATAAGTTTGCTTGAACAATGGATGGATTGATGATGAATGGTTGGATGGAATAAATGCTGTGATATAATAAGCATTTAGCTAAACATTTTGCAACAAAATTGAGCTTTTGGTTCTAGAATTGTGCCGTTCATAGTAACAGTATATTGGCGTAGCTCTGCTCTGTTAGTCAAAGTTGTTCTTTTTGAAGACCTGTGTCCATAATTATTCTGGATGAGCCTTTGCATGTTAGAACAAATTTTCCCTTTGGTTTTGGATTGTGTGCAGGTGTAAGGATTATTTTTTGACAAGGTTTTGTGGGACTACTATAACTGGGAGCAGCTGACTGAACTAGAGAGCTCCTTCAGTGTTTTTGTATTACTTCATCTTACATTCATGTGTGTGGTCACAGTGACAGCCATAAGAATAATAAAATTAAAACTGGAGTGGTTTTTGTTGTTATTTTTGAATTTTTTTCAATTAGTTCGCCACGTTTTTTTTCCTTTTCTTTTTTTTTTTTTTTATTTTGTTGTTGAGAGTTGAGGAGACGGTCAGGACAGCCGGTGCAGTGGTTAGCAAACCGATGGGCCCTCTGGTGCTTCCGGTACAAACAGGAAACCTGCTGACCAGCATCAATGAAGGAAGAACGAAGCTGTCAGAGCTGCTCAGCTAATAGTGGAGGAAAGCAGGTCTCCCGGTCTTCGTATAAGTCCACCTTTACTCCAACTTTAACCTGAAACACTTCTGTCTTCAGCACCAACAATCCTCTCATGAACGAAGTTCAGAACAACATAAAAGCGAAATCACGTTTCGAAAACGTTAAAATTACCTCAGTGCATTTTAAATTAGATCGCAGCCGATTCCGTTTTTTCTTTTATCTTTATTTTAAAATACCAAATATTGCAGATATATTGGGGTCCTAACCAAAAACCTGGCATATGTTGTTGCAGACGTTTGCTTCAGCCTGCTAGGCCTGTGGAAACCGTTCCAGATTAACAGGGAAAACACCGTTTTCTCACCGTTCGCCGCTTTTACATCAACATTAGGTACATACCACTCGTTATTAGTGTGCAGCTTCCCTTTTTCACGAACTCCAAACGGCTCCTCTGATCGATTAAAGTGATATTTTAGGTTCCTCCATTAGCTTCTCCGACCGTTAGCAGGCAGCCAGGTTACGAGTGAACAGACATGCGCAGAACGATTCGTGTTTCCGCTTTGGTTCCCTCCAGAATAAAGGTCCAACCGTTAAAAACCAAGCGGAAAGGTCGCATCATATTCACGACGGCGTGTACCGGCTATCGCGGGGTTTGGGTGGAAACTAGTTTGTCAATATTTGAATAGTATCCCAACCTTTTCTGTCATATGGCTAAATTTAACACTATACGTTTTATACAGTAACACTTTCACTGCTTACAACAGCTGTTCTTAAAAAATCCCTTCTCTTCATTTTTAGCCAGCTCGCTCAAGTCTCTGACAAACCTCCCAACATCCCAAATTAAGCTATTATCTTCTAATTAAACAAGATTAAACCACTAAAATTATGTTGAACTGAATGGATTTCTTGGAGTATGTGAAAACAATATTTTTCCAATACTTCCTCAGAACACATTCGATAGGGCCTCTAAAAAATAGTTCTCTCTTTAATCTCAGAATTTAATTTCAGAATCCTAACTAATTCTAATTAGTCCAACAGTCAAATTATCTTTTTACTTGTCTTCTTTGAGTAAATATTTTTAAAACCGGGTAATGACAGATTCTTAAATAATAATGTTATAAGAACTGCACTTAGAAAGTCAGACCTGCAATCTTATAAAACATGATTTGGTTATTATTGGGAAGAATAAATACATAAATATATTTAAACATTCACCCAAAAGTTGTTTTATTTCATTAATATATCATTTCAGTACAAATATCACATTGAAACTTAGTAAGACCTCTGCAAAGGTGCAAACATATTTAATTTATTTATAGTATAACTGGTTTAAATCTAAAAAAATAAAATAAAAAACTATGCTGTCAGTAACTTAATGAGCTGAAAATATATAAATTTATGTCTTAAATTGGAGAAACCTAGAGAAAAGCTTGTGTTTGACAGTTTGATGGTCCTTAAGGTTGTTTTCTGGTTTGTTTTACTTCAGGAAAGTAATCCCAGACTCTCCCTAACCCTCCAAAAACATTCCCAGTTTTCCCAGCTGTACTTAGCAACACATTAAGACTGTAGCACATGTGCTCCATATTTTTGATAAAGAACAACTATTGACTTTATAGACTATTGAGTCAACTGTTAATCAAACAGCGTTGATGAATATTTTCATTAACGGATTATTCACTGATGGGTATTGCTGCAAATTACTAATATATCCTCTTCATCCCCTCTCCTGGACCAAAGGGCTTAACACCTGAACGCAGCACAACAGCTGACTGGCAGAACGCAGGCGGTGTGTGTCTGGAAGGAGAGGCCGAGCCAAAACAAGTCCAGTTTATTTCCAGCTGTCATCGCTTCTCTGACAGAGGCTCATTTCAGTGACCTTAGAGCTGACATGACATATGCCCGAACGGACGGATCTCTGTTAAACCAACCAGAAAACACTGATTTCTTTATTAATATTGTCATCATCTCAACATTTTGTCAGTATCATTTACATTATTTAAAAGAAATCTAAACAGACTGATTAGCTCTTTTCACTTTCTGTCATTTTAATTGTATATCTCTGCACATTTTTGTGTTCAAAAAGTAAATATGAGTGTAAAGTAATATAAATATGGAGGTACTGAGGTCTAAATTGGAGACAGAGGCTTTTGCTCTTTCTTTTAAGGCTTTTAGAGTTTTCGTTTTGTCCTTTCCATATTTTGAATTCTCATTGATTTGATCTGTAAAGCACTTTGTCGCAGCTGTTGTTGTTTTAAAGTGCTTTATAAATAAACTAGTAGTGGTAATTGGCTTATTTAAAAGATGAAAACTATACTTACAAAAGCATTAGCACCCTTTTTGTCACATACAACAACAAACTTTAACATATTGTATGAGACAGAAACACAAATTGGTACATTATTTGGAAATAAAGGAAAATTATACATTGTTTTCAATATTTTTTTTACAAATAAAATCTGAAAAGTGTGGCCTGCTCTTGTATTCATTCCCCTTTGGTCACTCTTCCATGAAACCCAAGTCCCTTAAAGAGCACCTAGTAAGTAAATAGAGCCCAAGTGTGTGTAATTTAATCTCAGTATAAATCCAGCTAATACTCAACATCTGTTAGCATGACCGACAGGTCCAAACCTAAATCAAGTTAGAATCGGTGGCTGACTGAGCTCGAGCTGGTTTGCATAACCAAAGATTTAACTCTCTAGACATGCAGAACAACTTGCAGCCAAAGAAAGTTATACAGAGTATTGCCTCAGGGGAGTAAATAAAAACATATGCCACAACTTCTGTTGGCCAAACACATCAAGTCCCAATGAAAACCACTAAGATTTGTGGCTTTAATGTAACAAAATGAAAAATTTATGCAAGGCATGTTGTGCTGGTGTGGCAAATTTCCCACATTTACGTCATAAAAGAACATTTCCTTTTGTATGGACAATTTAGATCTAAATGTAACAAAAACAGAATGGCTGCCATTAATTTATTATTCTCTATGCTTTAGTGATCCTATTTCTTCTTTAAAAGGGCAGTTTTATGTAAACTTGACTTTTTTTCCCCTATATATCATTATATAATGTCATTCCCTCATCAAAAACATACCTGAAGTGTGGCTTTTCTTTGACAAGTGTTAAAAGAAATCCTTTAAGCTCCATGGCAACCATTCAGCTATACAAAACGTCTGGGTGGATCTAGCTCCGCCTTCGAGGCACAGCTCCTCCTCAGAGCTGCAGTTTCTGAGATTCTGCCTCGCAGAGCTGCTCCTTCAGACTAGCCAGAAGCAATTAGCAAACACCTGGTGGAACTGTTCACCTGTTGAGTTCATTAAAACGTTGCTAAAGGCTTAACAGAGGAGCCATGTTGGATTGACTTCTTGAAGGCGGAGTTTCAGAAAGAGCAGGAGTTTCTTAAAGAGACAGAGGCCCAATTTCAATGCATTAAATTATGAAGTGAAATTTCTTTTAACTCATATTTGATATACAAATATTTTTTGTAACAACTGAAGGTTAAATCTGCAGTAAAATGACACAATATGCCGGGAAAATACATAATCCTGCCCCTTTAAACACAGTAAAGTTGAAAACATACAAATCATGAACACTGATCAGTCTCTGTGTTTGAAGCGAAGCGTTAAAACCTCACAGCTTTCAGCTGCTTTCTCTGCCCCAACGACAGTTCCCAGTTTATGTCACATGGGCATGTTGTTGTCTCAGCAATTTCTTGGAGTCCATGCCCTTCGTCGACATGCCCAGCAACAGGCGGGTGGGTTTCAATCGTCATGCACTCGGGACGCGAAGTCCAAACTGAAACCCACACCAGACAAACGCCGCTGCTACACATGTCTTGGTCGTAAATCTCTCTGCGGCTCTGCCACTTTATCACCCGTCCCGCTTACATGTTCTCGACAAATGACTGGGAGAATATTTATGGCTGATCTTAAATTAAGGATTGTTGGTTAAACGTGGAAGTGTAAAAGTCCAGGTTTACTGGACCGGCTGAGGAAGCTAATCCTGCCGTGTACTGAAGGGCATTTAGAGTTTAGGTTTAATCAGCGCTGATGGAAATAACTCACGTCCGGCTCAGACAGAGAGCCGCAATCAATCAGCACCATGAGGCCTGGATATACAAGTCTGGATCAAACTGAAACTGTTGATTAGTCCTAACTGTTGACTAGTGATGAATGATCAATGACTGGTATCTTTAGAGCTGTTTAGAAATAATGTGGATTTTTTTAATTCTACTGTCGAAATGTTCAAACTAAATAAAATGCTGAATATGTAATCTCTGAACTAGAATAATAAATCAAATTGAATTGGTTTGAACCAGCTGAATCTAAATCTAAAGGTCAAGTGTTGCTACATTGAGGTCAAAGTGACGTTTGAAGTTCACAGTCACAAGGCTGCATTTCTGGAGCTCAAATTTTAGCCTGCAGTCCAAACATTTACAAGGTGTAAATGTTTACAACACCACAAAAAGCCATAATACACTATAAAAGTTTTAGACACATATACAATACTAGATAGCGCCCATGCTAACTGCATATTTAAAAATAAATATGTTTATTTATGTAAGTATGTATATGAACAGTAGGTATGTTTCATTACTGTAGGGTCTATGAATAGAGTAGGCAAGCATAAGAAAGCCAAATTTATTTGATTGTAAAATGGGATTTTATTTTGTTTACTTTTTGCAATGTTGTAAATTTACCACAATAAAGCTAATCTGATCTGATCTGATCTGATTAAGAGAAGAAATTTAAAATTTACATTATTTATTACACATAATTAAAAAAATAAAAAGTATATGCACAGATACAATGCTAAATGATAAATATTGATAAAAATTAATTTGAAATAAACATTTTTGCTAAAATTAGCATAGCGTTTAATATAAGCATTTATGTTTCTTTTCTTGAAACTTTGCTTTATGAAATAGGCAAAGTTATAAAAGTTGTCTGTGCACACACAAATCATTCTGGATAATAAAATGTGAAAATAAACAAGTCTTAAATATTTATTTACTTTTTTTTTTTCAGATAAACTTTCACTCAGTAATGAGAAAAAACAAACTCCTCTAAGTTGAAATCATAAAAATATCTCCAGTCCAACTTCACCGGGGGCCAAAATGAATCTGACAGCTGAGCGTGATCGTCTTAGGAGATAACGTACCGGCGGTGAGTTTGAGTTACATCATCAGACCAGAGCTTCGCTTACAGCTGAGACTTTTCATCACGTCTTCATATCTCAGGCTCACTCACACTCTGAAACTGTTTTCCACTCATATGGTGAGCAAGTCTGGAGACACTGGCTATTTTAAGAAGCTAAAAATATAAATGAATGAAGGAAGATTTTTATTTTTTATTTTATTCCAAAAGATGCTGACAAACATAAAAGCTTGCGGGGTTTCCAACGCCCAACTAAAAGGCTCTGTCAGAAATCTTGGGCGTTAAACTGTGAGGTCCTGTCCGGTTTGATCTCTCTGAACAACCTGATTCTGACCCAGAAACTCTTTTCACAACCGGTTGGACAAATGGACTCCAACACAAACTGACCAGCTAATCGGAGCGTCACTGAACTCAAACTCTGAAGGATATTATTGTGTGAATCTACAGTGAAATAGTATATTCACTCCATTGAAGTTGTCCACACTCAGCAACCACAAAACTCTGTGTTTTTTATTGCAATTAAATGTGGAAGTCTAATAAAGTAGTAGTTATGAAGGGGAAGTAAAAAATGCAAAAACACAAAATCTTACCAAGTATTTTCAGTTTATTTTCTAGTGCAAACGCCTTAGTAAACTTCAAATAATATAAAACTAACCAAGAAGGGGCTTTTCAACAAGATATAGGAAGTATGTTAAGTAAATAATTCCTTAAGTTTGATTAAAAAAATACTAATACCACTGGCAGATTATTTCACTTATGGGGAAAATGTCTTGTTGTCTATATCTTGATGAAGACTCACCCCAAAGTATTTCACTCTATTTGTTTACTTAAAAACATGCAGTGACTTAATTTAATTACATTTATTTGGTAGGGAGAATGCACATTAATTGGAATTTCTATAACTGCGCCAAAAATAGCTAAAATGTTATTTTTTATCTGTTATGCCTGGACAATGCTCAATTTTTCCTGCTAAAACAAACAAAAGTTATGCAAGCAAAACTAAAATGACTTCATACAAATTTTGTCAATAAATACAAGAAATTCAATCAATACAGACAATAAATACAAAACAAGAAAACTACAACACAATTGTCATATAAAGTATACTAAGTAATTAAAACAAATAATATTTAACAATATTGATAATTAACTAAATAAATGTATTCTTTAAAAATATTAGATTTAATAATTTAAAGGTTATATTGCATTATTTAATGAGACATCTAATGGTAAATTTATTTAGTTAATTTTCACCCTACATCCCCTTCTGGACCCTCCGTTTGACATCTCACGACCAATTCAAGGGTTGCGACCCCCACTTTGGGAACCCCTGTGTTAAAGTACGCTTTTTAAATAACTACTGCCTAAAACGGAGCAAAAAAAGATGCCCAAAGATTAACCACTACAAGAAAAACTCTCCCTCTCACTTGCCGTTAGGGTTAGCTACATTTGAATAAAAACGGACAAAATCTGCCTCCGCCATATTTAATTTCTAACGTCCCGCCTCCTCAGCCGCATACAAAGATTATTATTAGGCTGTGATAATGTTGTCAGATAAAGATAAAAATCAGTCAGCTGACCAGAAACATTCTTCCGGCCCTCATGATGCATGATGCTAAACTTAAACCAGTGTAACCAGTAACATCAGCCAGGCTGAGCGAAGCTCGCCAGGAACGCCATGCTAAGGTGCTAACGGTCGACAGGTGGGAAACAGGACTCCGTTAAACAATGGTGTGAACTGCAGGACAAAGTCTGGCCAGATTAAGGTATAAAAACTGATAAAGTAAGTTGTTCAGTGACAGGAAAGCAGAAAATGGAGGAAAGGGAGCCGCTGAATTTACCGTTACAGCTGCTGAGCCGCAGCGCTGCGACGGAAACGCTATAAAAACCTTTACGAGGTGGTTGGTCATATGGCTGTAGGCTAAATGTGTCAAAGTCATGTCAAAGTCAGGGAGGTTTTAACCTGAAGGAGCCGTCAGTCGCTACACTGCGACGGAGAATAAGAAAAAACAAGAGGAGACGAGGGAATATTGAGATCTCACGGAATATTGTAGAAATTTCTGAGCTTGAAAAGTTGAAAAAAAAAAAAAATTTAAAGATTGAGCTCAAACATTTTATAAAAAAAAACGTGGAAACTAGTTCAATAGAAGAAAATTTGCTGGAAAAACCTCTGAAATTTTTAGATTAATATCAGGAAGTCGTTTTAGAAAAGATATGAAAATATGAGTTTCAAAAGTCAAGAATTTGCTAGAAAAATTAAGAAATGCTGAGATTAACAGAAATTCTAAACAAAAAAAGAGAAAATTTCTGAGTTTTAAATGTTGAAAATTTGCTAGAGAAAAAACTCAAGTTTTGAAATTAATCTAAGAAATGTTCTAGAAAGAATAAGGAAATCTATGAGCACCAAAAGTCAAAAATTGCCAGAAAAGTTCAAAATGTTGAAAGTTTTGTTGAAACCTTTTGAGATTAATCTCAAAATATGAGGTGTTTTTTTTTATTGATTCTCAATTTTTCAAAAATACTGAAACTAACCTCAAAATTTTAGATTATTCCTCACAGACTTTTGATTATATAAACTCAGAAATTTCCTCTCTTTTTTTAGTTTAATCTTAAAATTTGAGGAGGGTTTTCTAGCAAACTTTGACTTTTCAAGGTCAGAAATTTCCAAGTCTTTTTACTCAAAAAATTCTTTAAGTTCTGAGTTTTGTGGCAAAAATTTACTCCTTTTTCGGTCTAAAATGGCCCTGTTGCACCATCGGACTCCACTTGGCCTCAGTGGTGCTAAAAGCCAATTAAGATACAATTTTCTGTATTTATTGACAACAGTAGACAATGTGTTTCAGTTTTTTAGCAGCTAAGTAGTCCCAGTGATAAATGTCTTTTAATGTCGTCCATCTGTTGGCCATCAGCACCTTGTGCAGCTGGTTTGGCTTCACTGGTTACACTGGTGCAAGTTCAGCACCATGAACAGGTTTCAGTGTCGCTCCATGTGTGTTGGCTGTGAAAATGTTATCCGTTATCCGTCTGCAGCTGCAGAATCTCAAACCACATCCAGTTTCATCTTCTCATGTAGTTTGAGTGAAAGCAGAGAATAAATCAGTTAAAACCACATCTTTATTGATAACATCTGTAAATGAAGTCCAGTATTAATTTATGTAAGCCAGGACATTGTGAGCCTCTCGTTTTCCCCAGAGTTTCCACTGGAAAATAAAAAGGCTTGTTCTTGTGTTTACTTTACGCTGTCATCCTGTGTGAGCCGAAGGGATAATAATCTGTCCCGCAGTAATAAACGCCTCACTAAGCCCGGGGCTGTCTGGAAACCCATTAAGAGCTGCTTTGGGCCTGATGCCACCAAGGCTTCACAGCTAAACGGAAATTAGCTCTGATGATAAAAAGCTTCTCTCTGTTTTCCTGTTCTGATCAAACATCTGAGGGCCAATGGGGAATATTTTAATTTTATCCAGGAGAGAAAAAAAGAGTAAATAAGATGGATGGATGGACGGATGGATGGATGGATGGATGGATGGATGGATGGATGGATGGATAAACAGACGGATGCATGGATGGATGGATGGATGGATGGATGGATGAACAGACGGATGGATGGATGGATGGATGGATGGATGGATGGATGGATGGATGGATGGATGGATAGATGGATGGATGGATGGATGGATGGATGGATGGATGAATGGATGAACAGATGGATAGATAGATGGATGGATGGATGAACAGATGGATGGATAGATGGATGGATGGACAGATGGATGGATGGACAGATAGATGGATGGATGGATGAATAGATGGATGGATAGATGGATGGATGGACGGATGGATGGATGAACAGATGGATGGATGAACAGATGGATAGATAGATGGATGGATGGATGAACAGATGAATGGATAGACAGATGGATGGATAGATGGATGGATGGACAGATGGATGCATGAATAAAAAACGGTTTTAATGTTGTAATAAAACTAGAACATCTACCAAACTGAACTGATTCTTTAGGTTTTTCGGTTCCAAACAGGAAACAGTTTTCATGGATTAACTGAATAAACAATCAGGCGACTCAGAAACTTAAAACTGAAGTTCTGCTCTATAACAACACGATTAATGTTCATTTTATTCTTCAGATCATTTTAATGAAGGCAGACGTAAACTATGCTGCTATGCGTTAGCAACATTAGCAACATGTTTTATTCAGGAAATGATCAAATCTAATTTTCAGCTCGTTCTGTTGCAGCATTTCTATTTTATTATTAACACTTTAGTATTTCTCAGTTTACCTGTTCCTTAAATCATGACAGCAGCAGTAATCTACTTAGTAAAACAGTCATTCTAGCAGGAAGATGCTTCATCTCTCACCTTTGTGGATGATTGCTGACGTTGCCGTTGGTTGAGGCAACGTTGGCGTTTCCTGCGTTGAAGCTCAGGATTTTCTTCCTGCTAATGTTTGAAGTTTTTCTCTCCTGCGGAGATCCGACTGCCTTCTTTTCCTCCAACATATCCAAAAACAGCCAGGAACATTTACCCGAACCAGGAATACGCAAACTCTCTGAGCGTCAACTGATTTCTGCAACTAGCACCAACAATCTCTAGTTTTCTTTCAGCCAAAGCAGAGATTTCCCTTTCAGCTCCAGCAATCCCACAATAATTCAGGAAAACAAGGAGATTTCCGTTAGTACAAAGATAATCTGTGCATCGGTTTAGTCTTTAAATCCCAGATTTAGTCCAAAACAAATCGAGGGAGTCAGACCTTCAGAGCGGTCCGAGTCACAAGAAGCAACTGGGAAAAGCGCGCTATACTGGAGTCATCCCAGTGAGGCAGCAGCTGGATGGGGGAGGAGAGCTAGGAGGGGGAGCGGGATGGAAACCAAACGAGAACCAAACGAGAGTTCACCAACGCCAGATTTAACAAGACTAATTAAAGAACTGAGATTGATGAGTGGCATGGTGTATTAGGGCCATAACAGAAAATAAAACTTTTAAAAATCTTGGAAATTTTGTAGAAAAACTAAGAAATTTTGAGAAAAAAAAGGAGAAATTTTGTCAATTCGAAGTAAAAATTTTTTTTTCGACATTTACTGAGTTTTCAAAATTTTCTGGGATTAATCTGAAAAATTTTGTAGCAAATGTTTGACTTTTGAAACTCAAAAATTATGTTTTTTTTCTCAAAAATGTCTGAGATTCATTTAAAGACTTTATTTTTTCTTAGCAAATGTTTGACTTTAACAGAAAATTTGCAAAAGTAAAAAAATTCAGACTTTTGAAAATCAAAACTTTTTACAGTTTTTCTCAAACATTGATCTCAAAACCTCCCAGTTTGTTCTAGCAAATCTTCAACTTTTCAAAATCTGAAATTTTTAAAAGTTTTTTTTTTCTAGAAATTGTCTGAGATTAAGCTCTAAATTTGTTTAGGGGTATTTTTTAGTGGAAATTTACTTTTTAAATTTTTTTTTAACAATCTTGTGGCCCCAGTGCTTACAAAACCCCGCAGCCATGTTTTGGCGATAAATTAATGATTTTTGTGTCTGGAAAATTACCCGTTTCCAAAACCTGCCGTTAAAAGTAACGTGTCGTTACCTAGCAACCCCACAGAAGGCCAGACCGTTACCTAGCAACTCAATAGAGCTTCAGGACGTTACGTGGTCAGTGTTTTTCCAAGAGCCTCTGGAATAAAATAATGAAATTAAAAAACAGAAAACAAACAAACGGAGCAATATTATAAATATGAAGTGGAGCTGCAGGTAGCAGCTTATTTCTTCCTCGCTGCTGACCTCTTGTGGTTACAAGAAGTAAAACTCTGATGTTTATGGTTTTTGCCTTTTTATTTAAGGTAAGACGATATAGTAAATATAACCTCCTGCATGTAATTTTGCTACAATTGGTCTGAAATTAATGATTTGATCATATTTGGAGCTTTTGTGTCTCAATTTAAATTGAGTTTGCATAAACTAATTTCTTCTCTTCATATTAAAACCTGGGAGGCAAATGAGATACCAGCTATATGGTAATACTGTGTTAAATTTACGTATTAAACGTATTAAAAAAACTATACAAAGTACTTGAAAAAGTCAATAACTTGTGAGTTTTCTTCAAGGTCATAAAAAGTCAAACATTTAAAATAATCTTACTTTTAGGCCTCATTTTCCATACAATATCTTAAATAAAATTTATATACTAAATTTATTCTTCTAATTTTTCTTTCAGAAATATATTCTTTCTGGTTTAAAAAAAAAATTTAAAAAATGACATTGAGCCAAGGACTTTGTTAAAGGTATTACTTTGTTTCACGATGTACAAAATAAAGCATCCATCCACCAAAAATACAGTGAGAACCAGACAGTAGAACTTCAGTACAATGTAGTGCAACGTCACAGTCAGCAGGTACATACATTAATCAAACACAAGGGGGCAGCAGAACCTCCTGAAATATTTACATTTCCACAGACATTAGCACTTATTTCCACACATTAGATTTAATCAGATTCAGATCAGTTTCCTTTCAAAATATGACAAGTTTGATTTTTATGGATAAACAAAAAAAAAAAACTACAAATCAAATATGTTCAAAAATCCCTGTATGAGATTAATCTGCTACTAACATGCTAATAAACATGAAGTTATAATTAACTTAAAGATTCCCAAAATCATTCACCTATAAACTATCCTTCCTATTTACACATTAAATAAACTGAATTAAGACAATTTTTACACTAAACTGAGCAAAGGCCTTTCATTGGTAACAAAACGAGATCTTACTTTATTCCTTCTAATCTGCGAATAAATCAATTTAAATGGTTACATAAAGTAAACAATGCCGCTGACGTGAAACGCGTTTCTTCAAATGCTTCATATTTTAAATTTTCTGTCCATTTAGGCTTCATGAGGTAAAACATTCTTGGCATCTTCTTGTTTTTGAAGAAACTATAAATCACTAAAACCTTCATCTATCACTTCAAGTTTGACTATTTCTTTAAAGAAATCAACTCATCTTCTTTATACAACTTCAGATGTTTTTCATTTTCAGCCCCAGTGCTAGACCTGAACTCTGTACTGGACAATAAAAACACATTAATATCCCGTTAGTGGGGTCGATTTAAGCTTCGATTTTAGAGCCGTTTCTATGCCAACTGGTTTCTGTAAGAGCATTTATACTTTAAATGAACTCCCTGCAAAAAGTACAGCACAAAAACATCAACTTATCATCAATATGTTTCCATCAGGAGACAAAAGTTTGTATTCGTGTTGGCATCAAATAAACTCTTGATCATGACGGGTTTTTATGTCCAAACATGACAGTTCAGCAAAACATCAGTTAGTTCCTGTTTTCATTTCATTTTTCCTAATATTTTCTAATAATCTGGCAGAACAAAAATGCTGATTCATCCAGAACAGAGGAATATTTCTACTTCTACTACTCTGGGCCACAAAGCAGACTCAACAGGTTTAAAGTATCTTCAGGTGAACTGAGTTAATTAACACGAACAGCTGAGATTTGAGAAGATTTGACCATCTTTTATTTTCACTTGGAGTTGGGATTAGATCCCAAATGAGTTCATATTAAAAAGAGATAATCCTGATATGAAACAATGTGAAACTGATCAACTTCATGATCAATTTCTCCCTAAATCTCATGTAGATTTGATATTTGATGTTATTTTAATGGATTAATTTGCTTAAAGGAGGGTTTAAATATTCTTTTAAGATGATTAAGATGAAACCTGCCAGAAGTGCAGTTATCCAGTGTTAATTTGTCTTTAAAATGCTTCAGAAAATAAAGAATGTCCTTAAAGCTGCAGGAACTTATTTAAAATTATGTTTTTACATATTTGTTAAAACTGTCTCCATGTTTAATATGAGACAGATAATCTGTGAAAAGATAGTTCTACCATTGCGTCTGAAGAAATACACCAAGACAAAAAAACGCAGTCAGAGTCAGGAGGAGGGTCTTAGCGCTGTCAATCAACTAGTAAAAGAGCTGCTAAATGTTCTAATGGTGGAAAAACAACTTCCTGTTACAGGAAAATGTTTATCCACCGTCATCAGTGGCCCTCAGCATTCACAACAGGCTATGCTAGCTGTGGCGTAGCAGAGAGCAAACAGGAGAAGAGCAGCGCCACACAGAGGGTGATTGACAGCACTGACAGTTTCAACAAATATATATAAAAAAATATTTTTTATAAGTTACACACTGCAGGTTTAAAATGAAACTACAAACGTTATATGTTACATTACATGTAAAACTGTTACAAATCCAACAGAATAGATTTCATAGAGAAAGTTTGTGATTCTAAGACATAGTGAGGTAAATACTGATTTGTGTAAATAAACGCTCTTCTTACAATGTGATCCTGGAGAATTAAACATAAACCTGATGAGAAGTTTTTGATTACATTTGAGAAACCAAAAAGTTAGTTTGTGTTTTCAGTGAACTAGCTCACATAAAACAGCTCTAAGACGCCTGAAGTTACTTTACTACGATGCTGATCCTGCTTTGTAGTTCAGATTCCTTTCATTTATTTATTTTAATACTTTTTAAACCTGATGATGGCAGTAAAATAGAAAATGCTCAACAAGATCTCGGTGTTGTTTTTGGACAACTAGCAGCTTTTATTTCTTTAATCCCAGTATAGCACAAGAAAGATACTTTTAATTACTCTAAATTCAGTTAGTTTTCCCTTCCTGTGTCATTTCACGGTTACCACACCGACTCTCAGATCGTTTACCACTTGTCTTGTGTGCTCCTGCTCATGTACTTGATCTGCGACAGGAACTGACTTCCCTCTTTCAGTTCCTGAACGGTCTGTCTATGTGATGTTGGATATGGGGTCGCTGATCTTAAAACACCTCCAGTACATGGCTCTTATCAAGGTAAAAAGAGCTAACACGATCAGCAGCACCCACGACACGTAGATGCCCTTTGAGTGCTGCGCCGGCTTCCACGTACCAACCTGAACACAAACACACACATATTTGTTCAAGTCCTTTCAGCTTCACACACATAAGAGTTTTCTGAAGCTGTGTTGACTTTGAGGTACTTCCCAGAGGGAATCTGTTCCTACAAACAAGATCTTTAGTTGTTTTTCAGCATATAATGTAACTTAAATATAGCACATTAAGATCGCAATTGAAAGTTTACATTTTAGCTCATGATAGCATATAAACTGTAGTTGAGTACTTAGTTCTTCATGCTAACACAGTTATTTTAGCTATTGTTAGCTTATAACTTGTTGGTAAGTACTTAGCACATAATGCTAAAGTTAATATTTTAGCTCAGAATAGCATATAATCTATTGCTAAGTGATTAGTTGATCATGCCAAAATCACCATTTTAACTACTGTTAGCATTTTAGCTCACAATAGAACATAACCTCTTGCTAAGTACTTGGTTCATGATGCTAGCATTAGCATTTTAGCTCATGAAAGCATGTAACTCGTTTAAATGAAATCATCGGTCTAATATGCATCAACTTAAATACGCCTTAGCTTAGTTAGTCATGCTAACATTACCAGTTTAACTATTATCATTTTTAGCTCACAATACAATATACCTTGTTGCTAAGTTATATTAGCATCAAGCTACTTTTAGCTTTTTAGCTCGTGATCACATAACTTTTTGCTAAGTACTTAATTCATCATGCCAACATTAGTATTTTAGCTCACAATAGTATTTAAGCTGTTGCTAGTTGATTAGTTGATCTGGCTAATAACATCGTTTTAACCATTGTTAGGATTCTAGATCCTGATAGCATATAACATGTTGCTAAGTATGTAGTCCATTATACAAATGTTAGGATTTTAGTGCATAACATCTAACTTGTTGCTAAGTTCTTTGTTTATCATACTAACATTACCATTTAGATATTGTTAGCATTTTAGCTCATATTAGCATATAACCTTTGCCAAATACAGTTAAACATACTTTAGCCTTTTTGCTGATGTTGCATATTAGAACAGTGATTTCACACATGTTGCCTTTAGCACACATAAATGTGCTAAAGGCAGAACACAGTTAATGTAAACTTCCTAGTATTAGCAAATGTGCATAAATGAGCATTTTAGCTAGCCAATTTCATTAGCATTTTGACCTAACGAGATTACATACTCAAAATTACTAAAGAAGATAACTTAAGTTAGCTAACACACTAGGTTGTGCATGTAGCTCACCTCTAATTAAATGATAGTCTGCTGTCACTGAATGGTTATTCATGTTAGCTAACATCATAGACCTTTAAACTGCAGCAGTTTGTAGAAGCTGTTACTTTATCTGAAACAAGAGGCGAGTGTAGCCCAGACCAAAACATGTCCTGATTTTAACCAATAATTTTTATCTTATTAACCAAATAAGTTGTTTTGTTCTCTTCTGTAGGTCAGTATGAATACATCAAATTAAGGAAATTCATAATGAGAACGATCAGAATGTCATTGTGTCATATGAATCAATCTAAACAGTTTAACACAGATAGAAACTCACCAAAAGTCCAGTGGTGGATGCTGCCAGAACAACAAAGAGCAGGAAACACAGCCAGCTCCTCCTCCTCGGGTACTGCTGCCCAACTGAAGAACTGGTTAATACATAAGGAAAAGCATTTTATTTTAATGCAAACCTGATCGGGTCACAAATCAAAGAGACAAATATATGGATCCGTCTCTCAAAGAAGCAAACAACTGCAGAAATGCTTACACTTTTCGGCAGTGTGGACATCGGGCCAAAGTCCGGTCTGAAATCTCTGTCCACTGGAAGAGTGGAATAAAAAGAAAGGAAAGATCAATGCCAGTGAAAATATATGTGCAGCCTGTTGCAGTATTTGCCGTTTACCAGGAATGTATTGGAGCAGTGTCCGCAGATGACCCTGAGCCCGACGGGTTGGCGCCGCGGTTCTGGACTGTCGCTGCCGATGTGGACTGGTCCCAGGTTGATGATGCGCTTACTGCCCAAAAAACAAAATAAAATAAAATAAAAAAAATCAGGAAACTGCTGACTTAAAATAACTCGTAACATAATCCTCTAACATTTCTAAACAAAACTTCCACTCTGTTTTTTTAGTGTTTTCTTCTGTCTGTTTATATACAGTCATATTCATTTCTTTGGTTAGCTAAAAATGCTAAGCTATGCACATATGCTAATACTATGAAGAAGGTTTGCATTAGCTAAACCTGTTCTGTATGCTAATGGCAGCTAATAGAAAATAATTGGATTGAAATGCAACTTTAGCAAAAATGCATACATATAGTCATATTCATCATACTAGCATTAGCATTTCTGCTAAAGTTGCATTTTAGACCAATTATCCTCTATTAGCTGCAATTAGCACACAGAACACATTGAGTTAATTAATGTAAGTCTACTTCTTAGTATTAGGAAATGTTAGCATTTTTAGCTAACCAATCTTGTTAGCATTTTGAACAAATGAGATTACTAAAGACAGATTAAGTTGGCTAACTTGCTAGGTTTAGTCAGTATTCTATTGATAGCTTTTTAGCTAATGTTATTAGCTATTTCAGTCCATGTCATCCAGTCTGTTAGCATATTGAATAGTCACTTTAAATCAAAACTGAAAACTCACCTGTTTAGTTGATTTTAAATCATAATAAATGGAACATTGACCAACAGATTTGATGTTTGATGATCTTTATGCTAACATTCGACAAAATGTAATGTTTTTAGGTGGTTTCACAATTACTGACTTTATGTCTTTTAACAAACTTCAATGAATTTGATTATTCAATAGATCAGAATATTAATAAAACTGCATTTTATTTACGAAGTTAAACATTACATAGATTAATTACAAAAATTAATGTTCTCAAGCTTTATTTCTGTTAGTTATGGTGATTTTCTGCTTACAGGTGGGTTTAATGAAAACTGTGGACTTAATGAAAAGTATGTTTTCAAAAGATATTTCTAATTTGATAAATAAAAAGCCTTACTGGAACTCATATTCTAATTTATCTCACAGGACTGCAGTATTTGTTTTTTTCCAGTCTTACCAGTACGGCCGTGGACAGGCGATCTTTTGGGATGTGACTTTGCAGATCAGCAGACAGTTACACGGACAGCGGACGTACTTCTTTCCAACGGGAGCGTTCTTTATCGGCTACAAACAGAAAACAAAAGAAACTCTGAAACAAATTCAAAACTTTCAGATGAACTCTGTCTCCATATCTGACGAATACTGATGGTGAAATATTCTGATAAACATCCAGAACAGCAGGGGAGCCTGAACTTTTTGTCAAAGTATTTGAGGGTCAAGAAGAAGGAAAAAAAACTAAAATCTAGCACATTTTTTTCTGTTAGGAAATAAGTGTTATTGATTGTAGATACAAAACTTAAGAATGATTTTTCATATTTGCTGTATTAAAAGAAACATATCTAGTCTTCAAATTCGAAACACTGAGTTCCTTTAAATCTAGACTAAAAACTCAAATGTTTAGAGTTTCTTTTGAAATATAATCACTGAAACATTAATCAACATATTCAATGTTTATTTGTTTGCTGGTTTTTTGAATTGCTGGCGTTTTCTTTATGATGTAAAGCTCTTCTAACTGCCTTGTTGCTGATAAACTTGACTGACTGAGTCTTCCTCGNTCTTNCCGTGGCTTCGTTGCAGATGCTGCACTTCACCACATGCTGATGCGTCTTTCCCTCCACAGAGATGGCCGTCTGGCAGACCCGACAGCTGATGACCGGGGCGCTGCTGCTGTCTGGGCTGCCCTGGGGCGAGTACGGGGGCGGAGCTTCACTGGGCGGCACATAGCTGGGGAACGGCACGATACCTGAGGACAGGAAGACGATGACAAGATCCGCACAACCAACAGAGACACCAATAGCAGCAGCTTACAGGGTTAAATACAGGTTTACATTCACGCTTTTTGTCGTATTGGGCCCAAAGTTGGGTAGTAACCAGTTCCACTTACTCAATTACATTTGTTTGAGTTACTTTTAGGAAAAATTTTACTTTCAAGAGCACTTTTACTTGACTGTGCTTTTTATTCACCAGACACACACCTGCAGTTTTTCTTAAAGTTTCATACGTTTTTTTTTTTTTTAAACTGATCTGGAAAAATTTGATTTATCATCTTAATTATTTTCACTTTGGTCTTTAAAAATACCAAAATTTGCCACATACTTTTATATTTTGGTCCGTCTAATGATGCAGTTTTCAAATATTAATGTTCTGATCAGATACTCAGTATATGAGTAGACTTTTTGCCAAATACTTTTTTACTCTAACTCAAGTAATTTCTTGAACAGCTACTTTGTACTTGATTAAAACTGTGTTGAAGTACTGCTACTCTCACTTGAGTACGACTTTGAGCTACTCTACCCTCCTCTGCTTGAGCCACACGGCGTTGCAAAGAATCGACTACCTGTGTGCGACTCTTTGCAAATCAAATAATTTACATAACCATCATTCAAATCAGACTGGAGCAAACCAAACTGAGTTTATTTAAGGAACATTACAAACTATCTGAGGACAACATTTCATTTTATTCCACTGAAATATACATTATTTAAGCATATAATGTAACCCAAGTATAGTACATAAAACTTGAAATTGACAGCAGACACACTAACATTAGCATTTTAGCTCGAGATAGCATATAACCACTTGTTGAGTACTTACAACTCATCTTAGTTAAAATTACATAGTTAGCAAACATGCTAATGGCAGCATTGCTGCTAATGTTTCATTTTAGACCATAAGCTTCTATTTAAATAATAAATAGTTAATTTAAGATAGCTAATCTCATTTTAAATAATTTGTACTCAAAATTATTTTAGTAGTTAGTTTAAATTGGCTAACATTCAACCATTAGGCAACAAGCTAATGTTTTTTTTTAGGTAACTTTCTAGCATTAGCAAAAAATTATATCAGGAATTTACCCCACAGATCTCATTAACATTTTAACTAATGAGTTTACTTACTCAAGATTACTATAGTATACTATAAGAAGTAGTATACTATAGTAAACTATCTAGTTTAAGCTGGCCAACATACAAGAGTTAGACGATGAATGTCAGTAACATATTTTACTTACTAAAGATTACTACAGTAGATAGTTTGTTAGCTAACATAAAAGGGTTAGTTAACATGCTAATAGTAGCATTTTAGCTACATTTCTACAGTTGGATAATGTGCAAAATATTAGCATTTTAGCTAACCTTCTAGCAAATCTGGATATACATTAGTATTTAGGTAACTTTCCAGCATTAGAAAATGTAAATATATTTTAGCATTTCAGTCCACCAATGTCATCAACATGTTGAACTAATGAGTTTAAATATTTAAGATGATAGATTGTTCAATTTAGCCAACATGAAAGCGTTAGTCAACATGCTAATGGTACGATTTTAGCTATCTTTCTAGTGTTATCAAATGTGCATATATATTAGGATTTTAGCTAACTTTCTGGTGTTGGCTAATGTGATAAATACTAGCATTTTAAAC